TTGCCAAATCTTCCTTCTGAGGAGTGATTGGTGGGTTTGAACCACCAGCCTTCTGGTAGCAGTCAGATGCCTTAGGCACTACCCACCAGAGCTATCATTTTTACTAATATTTATGGGCCAGTAACTCTTAGGCACTGGGAATTTGCTGTGGACAAAACAGACATACCATCTGCTCCTAAGGACTTTATTGCCACTCTTAGGATCTTTGGTAGCGTAGTGCCTAGGGCATTTGACTGCTAACCAGAAAGCTGGTGGTTGAAACCCACCAGCCACTCCTCAGAAGGAAGGTTAGGCAATCTATTTCTGTAGTGATACCACCTCAGAAATCTAAGGAAGGGTCACTATGCATCAGGTCTGACTTGATGGCCCATAGCAACAACAGTCTTATGGGAACAGAGGGATATCGTGGTACTGTTTATCAGACTAAACCAAAAAAACCCACTGCCATCAAGTCAGTTGCAACTCATAACAATCCCATAGGGTTTCCAAGGCTGTAAATCTTTACAGAAACAGACTGCTTTGTCTTTCTCCCACAGAGCAGCTGGTGGTTTGGAACCACCGACCTTTTGGTTAGCAGCCCAATGCCTTAACCACAGCACCATTAGAGCTTCTTGTTTATCAGATTGGTGTTCTTTTTAATCATTACTTTAGTAAACTTTCCCATTAAGTATTCTTCTAATTGCTATGTTAATGAATACCCATTGCATAGAAATTCATAGAGGATTGTCTGATAATTGGTAAAAATGTCCTATGGGTTTACAGAGCAGTTAATGGAATTTGAATACCTGACTCTTTCTGGATGCAGTTTTGAAAGGTAAAGATATTCCACAAATGCTATTGTGTTGTTTAAAGAAACTTTCTAACTTGAGATTAATTTTCCTGCCTATGGTTCTATTAGACACCTGATACATTAAAATTGGAATTTAAGACCATACAGATTTAACTTGAGGGTATGACAGTTTTATTTTTTAAAAAAATAAATTTTTTAGCCAAAGGAAGAAATGAGTTATCTATTCTGATCTTCTCTGAGTAACCTTGGATTTTAAATAGCCTTTAACAGATCCAACCAGAGAGTACTTTAACAGTCAATCATGCTTTATTTGGATAATTCAAAATGACAGGCTAGCACTTTTCAGTACTTGGTGCAGTCAGAAAATATTCATGCCATCCAAATGGTTTCCCTGTGGATTAGAGGTGAAGAGGGTTCTATAGTAAAAGTTTGAGACACCAGAATAGTTTTATTTTCAAATGTTAATTCTCATCATTTTCACTATGAATATGAAGAAACCACAAGGGAGCTCTGTGAATCTTTTCACAATTGGCTTAATCTGGGAGAGCTTTTAGGAGAAGCTGTTAGAATTACAAGAGGAAGAAGCCTGGTTGATGAGGTCTGAAGTTACAGTAGCCATTGATCAAGAGTTACCTTGCTTCCTAGACTTAAGACTTCCTGTTAACAAAAATAGTACAAATGTCCTCTACTTTTGTAGAGCTCTTTTGGAAAGCGACAGTAAAATACCATCTTTATTATGTTGGTCATTTTCTGTAGAAAAAATATGATACAGTTTTCATTTAAAATGGGAAGTGGACATCTGAAACAAAAAGATGCAGGGATTTCATTCAAATGCTTTTTGCCATTCAGTCATATAATCATGATACCTAGTTCTCTTGGAGGAGCTCTGGTAGCATAGTACCTAAGGTACTTGACTGCTAACCAGAAGGCTGGCGGTTCAAACCATTCTTTGGAAGGAAGGTTGGGCAATCTACTTCCATAGTGATACCGCCTCAGAAACCCAGGGAGGGCTCACTATGAGTCGGATCTGACTCGACGGCACATAACAACACAGTTCTCTTGGCCTCTTCTTTTCCCTCATCACTTAGCCTTCTCATTCATTAAGGTTTAGGATTAGTTTCAATGTCCCAGTTTCCTCTAGTGAGTCATTATTAACTCAGTCTTGAGTCTAATAAATTAAAATAAAAATCATAAAACAGGATTTTTAAAATCAAACCAAAGTTTGCTTTTAAAGCTCTTATTCTGCCATACTTGATATGAGAATAACATAAAATCATAGTCTCTGTAAATAGGTGAAAAGAACAACTTATTTTATCTAGAATCTGATTTTAGAACTTAGTTCAAGTATGGTAGTCATCATCAATGCTTCTTACTGTCATAAAGTATCATTCTCTGCCCATAAATCAATCTGACAAATTGATATAGAAGGGAGTATTACAGCCTACCTTTGAATTATACCTTGGTTTGTTTTTTTTTTTTTTGACCTTTGGAAGTTACTTAAATTCCCTGAGCTTCTTCAACTATAAAGGATAACTTCCTTACTGTGTTCTTCTGTGAGTGAAGGTAAGCTGATTTGTACAAAATATCAGGGAAGTAATAATTAAAGTGTATTGGTATTTAGTCTTGTAGTAATATAATGCAGTAAAATTTAGGTCAATTTAATTGTTTGTGTTTGTACATGGCAAATTTAAAAATCCACCTAGAGGTAAGCTTCACCAAACATTTATTGAATGTTTATTGAATGCCAAGCAGGATTCCTGGGAGTACACAGAGAAAGAGACATGACCCCAAATGTCAAAAGTACTCCCAGTCTGGTTGGAGAGATAGGTGAGTAAACAGATACATGGAATAGGTGCTGTGATTAAAGAGTGGAAGTTGACAGGGAAGGAGTTTGGAGAAAGCTTCCCTGAGGAGGAAAACTTAAGCTGAATCTTAAAGGAGAAGATGAGTACAAGGGTGTGAAGCAATGAAATAGGGAAGTGATATTCCAGACAGAGGTTTATAGTGAAGAAGAGAACATGACTAAAAAAGAGGTTTTGTCTGGAGCTGTAACAAGGTCCCACTACTATGAAAGGTCTATGCTACATTTTGCTACAATGTTTAGATTTTATTTTGATGTTATTTTGGGGAAGTAGTTGAAGGATTTTGAGCCAGAGAATGACATAATCAAATGTGTAGTTTAGAAAAATTCACTAAACCCATCTTCTTTGTTCTATTTCTTTCTGGTACTTTCTAGTAAAACATTAAATTGACTTCCATATCAGAAGAAACAATTATCTTGTTTAACCTAAGTCTGTCATCACAATGATGTTAAGCACTTGTATATTTATGATCTTTGTTGAAAGCTATGAAAATTGCCACGCAGATATTTAAATTTTAGTAGCTTACAGCACTGAGATACAAAGTTCATCACATCTGACAATCTCATTTCTTTAACTATTATAGCATGAGGCCAAGGAAGAAATTTTGCTTTTGGGCAGTGTCCAACACCCTAAGCCTTTTAGCACACTTGGCACAAGGATGTCACAGACGTTTGTTCCAACATATAATCCTCACGTGGTAATGATCCTTCATCATAAGTATATCGTTCTTGACAGTGAACCGTAAGAAACCACTGGTTGATGTGTTTTACATTACACATTACACAGTCTCTTTCTGTGGCCTGATTTATAGAAGCAAGAGCATTTGCTGAGCATAACTTAATCAGGACTTCCTGGTTCCCAATCCCTCATGCCTTTATTCAGACAAGAATGCAGTTGTCTGCACTTACTGTCCATCCTCTAACACCATATCTGGCTAAAAGCAGGAAATGGAAACATTTTAGGAGTCCTGCCTCAAATTATCGAGGTACTTTTTACCAGTGGTTTTCATGTCTGTGACCTGGGTGTTCACCAGATTTCTAGCCTCAGTTTCTAACCTATTTAGAAAGCTATCACACTTTGCCTTCACTTCCTCTCCAGGCCAAGGCAGTACACATTTTTTTCCTCTGTGAGCCTATACCTCCTGTCTAAGAAGTCATACTTGGTTTTGTCCTTGTCCTTATCTTTGTCCTAGATAGTTTTCAAACTTGTCAGATATGCTTAAACACCTGACTCTGATCTTCCGTGATCTCAATTTTCCAAAACACAGATATATAAAACCAATTTAAGCATTTAATCTAACAGTGTTTTTGAACAAACTCAGCTCTATAACAGAATAAACTGAGTCAGCAGAGTGCAATGGAAAAAAATGATTTGGAGTTACATTAACATTCATGGAATTGGATCTACCAAACATTCCATTTACCTAACTGGGCATTTCACACAAACCATCATACCACACATCCCTATCAGAGAGCTTCCTATACAGGGACTAAGCCTTTAGAACTTACAAACATGTCCAAGGTGTATAGCTCAAAAGGCGTAGTTCTGGGCTTCACCTCTAGATAGGTCATTCTGCTTGTGCTCTTCACCATATAGCACTGTCTCTCAACTATGAATGTTTGGATAAAGCCAATGTTCTGTTAAATAAAACATTACTCTTGTGCTTTGAGGTCATAAAGTATGCTTTCATTATATCTCATTTGATTTATATAATAATTCTGTAAGGTAAGTATAATTTTCCCAGTTTTACAAGAGAGAAAACTGAGGCTCTGTTAAGATTAAATGACTTGCACAACGTGAAACAATTTATAAATGGCACATCCAGTGTTCATAAACTTTTAAGGTCCTGTGTAATATCAAGATCTTCTTAAATGGGGTACTCTGGTATTGTTCACCCTAATGAGGTTCAGTACTGTGTATTACTTGCTGCTGTGGCTGAACATTTTACAGTAACATTGATTCCCCCCAAGGGGAAATGTGTACATTTCCTCTAGTCCACCTCCATGGTTCCACTGCATTTGCTGTGGTTTATACCCGAATTGACAGCAGTGAGTTTGGTTTTGGTTTGGTATATAATGTTTATTTTACTACTTGATTATGAACATATCAAAGTGTCAACCATATAACTACCCACAGGAGTGTTTCCGTATCAGGCATCAAACAAAATAACAAAAGTCTCACTTTATATGTTTTCCACATAGAAGTTATTCTTCAGGCTTTTAAAGCTGATGTGACTACAGTGGTGATTATTAATGTACTGTACTCTGCTTTTAAATATGTCCCCTCCCCTGCAGTGGACTGAATTATTCATTTTACTACTTGACTACTCATTTTAATTTTTTTTCCAGGTTTTGTGATGAAGGAACCTGTACAGATAAAGCCAATATTCTATATGCCTGGGCAAGAAATGCTCCCCCCACCAGGCTCCCTAAAGGTACCTCAGAGTCCTTTTGGATATTTCTTTTAAACTACTAATTTCTAATTCCAAAGTACTTTTTGTTGTAGTCCTTTCCAAGAGTTGTTAATAGTGTCATTTATTGCAGTTTTACACTGAAAGTAGCAGAGTCAACTGCTTTGTATTGAAAAGGTTTCATTTAAGTAGTTAACTTCTTTCTCTGCTTCTCTTTGGTAAGTAATTTGCCCACACAACATTTTAGATAGAAAATAACCAACTATACCTCAAGCCACCTTTGGCCTAAGGCACATTGGTTCTTGACAACTGGAGCATTTTATGAGCCAAGAGAGCTAGGAATTAAATAAATCGCTGCTTCAGCAGACCAATTTCTTTTTTCTTTTTTTTTTTTTTTTATAGTCCTGGAACCTAGGTATTGATGTAATGCCAAACCTCTGTTGGCTTTCTGACTTCAACTTTAAACTGTTCATAACTTCCAATTTGTGAGTGAATTACCAGACTCTTTTTGTTTCTTGAACGTTTCTCAATATTAAAGGGATTGTGCTTCACGGTTCTCTTACGGACCCGTTCTCTCATGGTTCTGGGATGGCATCATATGATGCATATGCTTTCTTGCCTCCATAACTCATACCAGCACCACTAATTGATGACCATTTTGCCTTGCTTGAAATGAGCCTGAGGATTTTCTCTAAAGTTTACCAGACAGCTGCTGTTAAACAAGTTTGAAAACTAGAAGATGGGTCTGCCATAGATTTATTAACATACTAAAAATGTTAATAACAGATAGAAAAAAAAAATTTCCAGCCCATGAATATATTCTTTATAGATTTTTTTTTTTTTTTAACCTTACTGTTAAACTCTAATAAGACTATGAAGAATCCTAAGATTCCAAAAACTCACTGACATGGTGGACTTTGCAATCTGTTTCCTTAGTGACATTTTTGCAGATACTTGTTTTCATATGGGGAAAAAGTAATTCTAAGATTAAGGAGTCTATTTATTGTAATGAATTAGAAAATAAAAAAGAATGTGAATATATACAGAACAAAAATGAGAGAATGGCTTTTATATTTCTATTTGTTTTCATCAGCAAAGACAAAATTTTGGTTGGTTGGTTGGTTTCAAAATCAGTGAATTAGTCTCTTAAGTACAAGTGATTACTCTGGTTCTGAAGTGGAAACTATGAATAGAATTTCCTCGGAGCTTTGAGAAAGATTGATTATATTAAATATTTTTAGTAAATGCTTAGTTTGTTTCAGTTTTCATATAATGTAATTTCATGTTATATGCTATCTTATTTCCCCTTAAATTTCATAGTTTAGCAACCTCAGAGTAACTCATCTATTTGCATTTTAAAGTATTTATTTTAAAATGATTATTTCTAAAATACTAATTTACCCTCTTTTGCAAATCTTTAGGTGTTGGTTTCAGAGTTGGAGGAGATACTGGAAGTAAATATTTTGTACTGCAGGTGCACTATGGAGATATTAGTGCTTTTGGAGGTAAGTTTCGAAAGGTTGGAACTAAGCACAACATTTATTACTATATTGTTTAAAATATATATACTGTTATCTCTATGTGTATCAGAATGAAGAAGTTGCTACACCTTTCACTATTATAGGACAGCTGTCTTTGTTTAATTTGGGACTATTAAAGAAATTCTTTTCATTATAAAAGTTTTGTTCTCTTATGCACATGTTCATCATCCTGTGGTGTAGTGGGTAAGGCATTTGACTGCTAGCCAGAAGGTTGGTGGTTTAAACCCACCAGCTGCTCTGTGGAAAGAAGATGAGACATTCTACTTCCATAACAATTTAAAGCCTAGGAAACCAAGTGGGGTTCTCTATGAGTTTAAATCGACTCATTGGCACTGGGTTTGATACCTTATGCTGATATTCAGGATTCTTTTGTCCTTTCTGTTCTCCTGTCAGGGATTCCAAAGAGCTCTGGTGGTGCAGTGGTTAAGGCATTCAGCTGCTAATCAAAAGGTCGACAGTTCCAACCCACCAGTCGCTGCATGGGAGAAAGATGAAACAATCTGCTTCCATAAAGATTTACAGTCTTGGAAACTCTATGGGTGGTTGTACTCTGTCCTGTAGGGTTGCTGTGCATTAGTATTAACTCAATGGCAGTAGGTTTGTTTCATACATACATACATATATACATAAACATACATACATATATATATATATATATATGATTCCTTCCACACAGAAAGCATAGGAGGTTAGTTTATGTACATTACTGTGAAAAAGGCTTGAGAGATTCAGTATGTTCTGCAATACTAGGGAAACTATTAGACACTGGGATTCAGGTCAGTGCTTTAACAATAATCCAAACCTTCCATTTCATGAACTCATCCACTACCCACTGCACTAACGTTCATACCCCACCTACGTCTAAAATAAACAAACAAAAAACGGTTACTGTCAAGTCAATTCTGACTCAGTTAGAACTGTGTTCTATGGGGTTTTTCAATTCCAAGGTGCCTCTGGGTGAACTGCCAACCTTTTTGTTAAACCATTTGCAATGCCCATGAATTCATTCCTGGGAAGCCCTAGATACTTCCCTAGATTTCTGTCACTCTACTCATGTTTACAATACACGTCACTTAAAAACCTCTTTTTATAGAATCATTAACATGATGAAGGGGTCCTGTTACCAAGGCAACTGAGACCAGAATCTCTTACTCCTTTTGTTGTATTTAGTCAGACCCCAGCTGCATTCCCAGTTCACACTTTTGTGTTCATAGGAGTGTAAATATTAAGGACTTTACTCCTTGGCTTATCTACTATGTCTTTCTGATTTGTGCATACTCCCCTGAATTCTCTAATTTAACATATTTCTACTAACTAACCTGACACATTTCCTTCCCCAAGCACATTAGATTTCTATCCAGCAGCTAAGTCTGGAGGTAAATACCTATTTCTACCTTAGAAATATCATCTGGAGCCTTTGCTGTTAGTTTTTCATCTAGTGAAGGGACCCAGAGATTCTTGGCATTTGGAACTGGACAATAAATACAATCTCCCTCTAGGAAACAGTATTGGAAAAAATAATTTCATATATTTGAAAAGTATAATTAGTACTAGAGTCAGATATATTATTAATTTAAAAAGCTGCTGTATACTAGCCCATGAATCTAACTTCCAAATAAAAAATTGTTTCTGTATTAAAAAATGTGCATTGAGTTATAAACAAATAACTTTCAATTTTTGGAACAAAACCTAATCTTAAATTAACTGTAGTGCTAAAACAAAGATTTGTTGAAAACAAAGGAGTACATATTTGTGTTTTGAGAACAAAGACAGTTACCTGCTGTAAGAATTTACCATGTTGTAATCAGTGGAACAGGCAAATTCTAAGACTGCTGACTTCCAAAGCATTGGCAAGACTATAATATTATTCAAAAAGGCAAGGACATCCTTCCCTGACCACCACAACTAAAGTAGTCCATCATATGCACACACTCTCTTAACCCTAACCCTTCATTCTCCCTCTGTAAAACCCTGGGCTTCACTTTTCACCCTAACTCCTCTTAGCTTTGTAGTACCTTCCAGCATACTGCATTGATACCCAAGGGAAAATGGATAATCTGTATACTAGCACACGCACACACACACACAGATGCACAGTAGCTTCATAATTTATTTAAACTAATTTCTTACAGATGAGGAATGAATTTTGGTTTATAATTAATGTTTACTCTAGCGGTAATAAAAAAGCACCAATATGTTAATATGTAAATAGATAGTTATTCTTTACTGTAAGAGACAGGTGAGGAGCTATGCACTATTTTTTCATTTTTTACTTTTCCAAGGATAATTTTTCTAAAAGAAGGTATGTATGAGGTAGAAAGAGAACTACTGCTATAACCTGTAGATCTTATCTTATTGTAATAAAATAAAAATGTAAACAAAAATTTTCACCCATGTAATGCATTCAGTACCAGTTAGACACCATCTTATCCCTTAAGGTACACATGATTAGAGTAATAAACAAACGTGAGGGAAAATATCAAACCTTCCTAAAACAATGAGATTGCCCTTCACAGTTACTAAATTGAGGATGGATGGAAATTGAATCATAAGACCCAGTCCTGCCAGAGTTTTAATGAATTTGGTACAGTTTTGGAGGCTTTGTGAATTATAATTTGGAGGGGAAGCAATTTGACTATGTTATATACACTTGTGGTGGTGGTGAGCGATCAAGTCGGACCCAACTCATAACGACCCCTCCTTGGATTTCCGAGGCAGTATCACTTAAGGAAGTAGATTGCCCAACCTTCCTTCCGAGGAGTGGCTGGTGGGTTTGAACTGCCAGCCTTCTGGTTAGCAATCAAGTGCCTTAAGCACTATGCTACCAAAGCTCCTTATAGCCTAATATTAAAACCTTACTCTAAGTTTTCATCCTAAAGAAATAGATTTTTTTTAAATAAATATAAGCTAACTACCCACAGTTATTTATGTATGTTTAACTATTAATATGAACTACTGAAAAGTTAGTAAGTGTCCTTTAATAGGGATTGGCTAAATAAATGGTATAACAAAAAGTAGCAAATCATAAAAATGTATGTTGTTGTTGTTTGCCATCGAGTCGGCCCCGACTCATAGCGACCCCTCCTTGGGTTTCCGAGGCAGTATCACTACGGAAGTAGGATTGCCCAACCTTCCTTCCGAGGAGTGGCTGGTGGGTTTGAACCGCAGCCTTCTGGTTAGCAGTCAAGTGCTTTTAGCCACTATGCTACCAGAGCTCCCGTATACAGACTATATAAAAAAGATATTTATGCTTGTATATTTACAAAGATCTTAAGGAAAAAGGAAATCAGGAGAGTTAATGTTCATGAGAGATGGGATTGTGTGATTATTTTTCCCCTTAAAATGTTACAGCCTTATCTTTATATTTTTAAGTCCCACAAATAGAAGCACCATGTTAACTTCTTTAGACTACCAGTTGGTGTACTGCATTCCCACTCATACACTAAAGACAAAAAAGAGTTAACATGAATCTGTACATGCCTGACTTACTACAAGGAGTGACTTACACTTTAAGATTCTCTTTTGTGATTAGAGGCTTATCTTGATTTGCACCTAGAATTAGAAAATAATTATATCATTCTATCTCTTTTAATTATTAAAATGCATTATATGTATGTGTATAAGGAGCTCTAGTAACAGAGTGCCTAAGGCATCTGACTGCTAACCAGAAGGTTAGTGGGTTCAAACCCAACAGCCACTCCACTGAAACAAGACTGGGCAATCTACTTGCATAAAGATTTACCTCCTTGGAAACCCAGTGGGGATCACTATGAGTTCAAATCAACTCGATGGCAGTCGTTGAGTTGGACCTGACTCATAGTGACCCCTCCTTGGGTTTCCAAGGCAGTATCACTATGGAAGTAGATTGCCCTGTCTTCCTTCCGAGTAGTGTCTGGTGGGTTTGAACTGCCAGCCTTCTGATTAGAGTCAAGTGCCTTAGGCACTTCGCTACCAGAGCTCCCATGATGGCAGTAGGTTTTTCTTTTTTAAAAAATGTGTATATATATGTACATAAAAAATAAAAAGCCACTGCCATCGAGTCAATTCTGACTCATGGTGACCCCCGTTGGGATTCCAAGGCAGTAAATCTTTACGGAAGTAGATTGCCTCATCTTCCTTTCGCAGAGCAACTGGCAGGTTTGACCTGCCAGCCTCTGGTTAGCAGTCAAATGCCTTAGGCACTGCACTACCAGAACTCTTTACATATGTATATAAATACACATAAAATCCTATCACTGCGTTTAGTACTAGCATCAATGAAGATTTGACCATCATGATGTTAAAAGTATTGATGGTATTTTTAACCACATAAATTTTTAAATCATAATCAGAATGACACTTCTAGGAAATTGTTGTTGTTGTTATGTGCCCTCGAGTTGGACCCGACTCACAGTGACCCCTCCTTGGGTTTCCGAGGCAGTATCACTATGGAAGTAGATTGCCCAACCTTACTTCCAAGAAGTGGCTGGTGAGTTTGAACTGCCAGCCTTCTGGTTAGCAGACAAGTTCCTTAGGCACTACACTAGGAAATTTTAAAAGGGGGTAAGATATTTGTCTCAAGGGTGTGAGCGTTTTTCTACATAGGAAGTTCTAGAGAGTTAAGAAGCGTAGGACATTTCTTTAATAAAGCCCCAACAGTGAAGGTAAAATATCTTCTAAGACTTGTTGAAATGTGATACAGAGGAACCAAAAAAAATCTTTTACCATTGAATCAATTCTGACTCAGTCATCCTATAGCGTATAGGGTTTCTGCCCCATAGGGTTTCCAAGGCTGTAATCATTATGGAAGCAGACTTTTTTTTTTTCCTCCTACGGAGCAACTAGTAGGTTTGAACTGCTGACCTTTTCAGTTAGTGGCTGAGTGCTTAACCATTGCACCACTAAGGCTCCTTGATAAAAAAGAAAGGAGAGCATAATCTGAAGCCAGTTGGATATACTTTAGACTGCAGGCTTTCGTGGTAGGA